GCTGAAGCAATGGCAGGCAGGGTGCCGCCAAGGCGGTAGAGCCGTGCCGTGCCCCGGGCACGCCGTGCTCCCGGCATCACGCTGGCCCCGCGGGCAGCCTAACCCCAGCTGCACGGGGAGACGCTTCCTCCAGCCCCAGGGAAGCTGCGCTTTGCACCTCCTTGCAGGGGCTTGCTTAAAGCCCGCTTTGCTTTTTCATTTTCTTTGTGGTCAAATGCATCTTCGCCTTCCAGCTTGCCGAGCCACCGGGCAGCGTCAGGCTCACAATGGAGCCTGGACCACGGACCTCAGGCACCGGACTGTTGCCCGAAACTCCTCTGAATGTAGGACAAAAACCTCTGTTATCCAGCAGGAGAGCGACAAGCATTAGCACACCTTCAGTTCAGGTTTCTCAGCTTTTCACTCAACATCCAGCATTTGTGCTGCCTGCTCTTCTCCTCCTCCCGCAGCATGCACAGGGCAAAAAAGTAACAGAGAGAAACCTGTGCAACTCGTTCCCTGTTCGTGGTGGGGGCTTTAGGAGGCTAAAAAACATTTGTCCTCAGAAAAGTCAGTGGCTGCCCAAGGAAATTAGAAAAGCACAGTTTCATTTGTTTTGAGAAGTGAGGGTTTAATGCTTCACGCTTCCCTAATTTAGAAGGGAGAAAACAACTTCCCCAGGCTGCACCGAGGGGGGAGGTATGCCCACCCCCGAGCCTGGCACGAACCGCCATCCCAGGGGAGGGAACGGCCGGGACTGCACGGCTAGACCTCAGGGCTCCCAGTGGCAGAAGTGGGGTTTTCCACGCTTCCCTGCTAATGGGTTTATTTAATTCACGTAACAAAGAAGGTGCCTCTGGAGGAGGCGTTTTTTGTTTTGCTTTTTAGAAGACTAAACCCCAATGTCTCTGGGCTCCAGCTGTCAGAGAGGCAGCGCAAGGCGCTCCCTCTCCTTTCCAAAGTCTCGAATGCAAACCCTCGCCCCCGGACGGAGACGGCTCCTGTGCACTCCGCGCAGGAACTTCCCTCAGGACACATCTGATTTCCTCTTGCCCTCGCTGCTCCACCCACGAGCCTGTTGTGTGTCAGGCTCATCCTTTTTTGCAACCCCTGTCCTGACCCGGAGCCAGCAGCAGGACGCGGGGAGACTGTCGTTTGTGTCCCCCCCCCCAGGTCACTCAACGCAGCTCTTGCGTACGGAGAAAACCCATCCGCTCACTTCCCATCGCCGACACGGGGAGCCGTGCAACCCACAAACAGGATATAGCTCAGGGGGCTGGCATCCGAGCTACAGCTCCAAAGCAGCTGCCTTTGAGCTCTTTGTCCATCACATCGGTTAAACGAAACGCCGACTTTCCTATCTGGCTGCCCAAGGAAATTAGATTAACTCCTGAACAGCTTAAAAAAAAGGGGGAGGGGGGTAAGATCTGTCACGGGCTTCACAGGGTTGCAACTCAGGTCCTCGCTTCAGTACATCTTAAGCCACTGAAAACCTTGGTTAATACCCGTCAAACGTTCCTTTTAATAATATTTTTTCTACTTTTGCTTTCTTCATAATCACTCCTAGTTCCCTTCCTCCATCCATATGTCCCCTCCCTAAAATCCTTTGGCTCCCCTACTTGAGGGTTTGGAAAAAAAGGGGACCAAGATCAGCACAAGTCCCACAGAATAAGATCAAATTTGAAACTTCAGAATAAGCAGAGTCCAACAGCCTGGCTCCGGCTGCTTTTCTAGTAGTAATCATTCAACCTCTGGCTGCTTTTATTGGAGTAACTCCACCTCTTTTATGAAAAATTAAGTGCCTGGCCTGCCCAGAACAAACATGGAACCAGCCACGCTCCAAGTTCAGTGCTCTGGGGAAATAAATAAGGCAGCACAGCAGGGATGAAGGAAACACAAACGAATGCCCAATTATTTAAATTGTCTGTAAGTAGTTTCAGTTCTTGCCCAGACATAACGTAACGTAGTTGAGGCAGGTGTTTTCTCAGCAGCCACTGACTAATTGCTGAACAAAGATTAGAAAAGAAAAAAAAAAAGATGTAAACAGTGCAGTAGCGAGTACGTCGCGGATGAGTCGGAGCAGAGCAATTTATACCTACAGAGTACGTATGCGTACGGAGGAGATATACAGTAGCCTTTATGAGACAAAAAAAATAATATTGCATGAATGAGACTGAAAGACCATGCCAGTTCACGAAAAGCATACTTGGCACGATGCAAGCGGCGTGGCAGGTGGCTTGCTTTCCCTTCCAGCCCGAGAGGCAAGAGGAAAAGCAAGTTTGGCGTCTTCTGGGCTGCCTATCTCCTAAAATCTACAGTACCTTGTGGAAGCGGATTAAGACACATCACAAGCAAAGAAGTTATAAAAACAAGGAAATCGTACGGTTCCCAGCCGAGGTCTTTTCAGAATTCACCACAAAAGACATATTTGTAAACAATCCTTAGTTACAAAAGTAAATTTATTATTAGTTCACTTTTACAGGTTTGTTTTTTTTTTTTAATTCATTGTAACAATTTATAAATAACTCCTGGTCACAGTCACCACATCCGGGGACAAGTTTGAAGTTTAAGTTGCTTGAGAAGTTACAAAATCAAGTACATTTTACCTGTTTTTGAAAAGTGTGAAATGGCTCTGTCATTCAGTAACCGCACACAAAACCAACGCCACGGACCTACAGCACCATGGACTGTGGATTTCTAAGCAACAGAGGAGCGAGCCTTAACAATGCACGAACTGGCATATTCAACTGCTTGAACTTCAAAAGCAGCTCAGAGAAGTTCGTGCTTCCTAAAGAGATTGAAGAAAGAAAGAAAATGAGCTCGTATTGGTGTAACGCTTGCTCGAGGAAAGAACTGTCAATAGAGGAAGGAGAGCCAGCCAGTGTTCAGGGTGCACCTCTGGAGATGTGCTCACTGCTACTGGTTTTGTTGCAACACTGGTTAAAAAGTAAGTTTTTTGTAACAGAAGTTTAAGAAATCCCAAATTCAATTAACGTGGCAGGAACTCCCAGAATAGAGACGTGTGACAGGTAGAGAGGACATGGGAAACCAGGATTTCCGTAAAGGCCTTTTGACCTGAACAGATACCCGGGCACCTGATTGGAAAGTGTCCAAGACGAGACACGTTAGCCTGTACGCTGAGGGAGCCGTCGCCTGCACAGGACTCCTGGGCCGGGGCTGTGGCCTCTGCCAAGCCTTCAGCAACAGATTTCTCTCGCCACTGGGGCAGTAACATTCATGTCACACCCCTTAAGCAAGCCAGAGAGTTCCCCAAATCGAAGTCCAGCTGCATTTCTTTTGCAACCCGAGAAACATTGGAACAGGCTGCCCAGGGAAGTGGTAGAGTCACCATCCCTGGAGGTATTTAAAAGACGTGTAGATGAGGCGCTTAGGGACATGGTTTAGTGGGCATGGGGGTGTTGGGTTGACGGTTGGACTTGATCATCTTAGAGGTCTTTTCCAACCTTAATGATTCTATGATTCTATGAAACCTTAGGCAAACAGAGGAGGACTGGTATATCCCCAGGTTGGGCTGACGGAGGTCAAGAGAAAAGCTGCCTAGTGAAAGGGCCCAGGATTTCCCTGGATCCCAGATCAGATTACCGCTGGAAACCTAGAAGAGCAGGTGATCGCTCTAACTAGGTACTTAGAGGAAAGATTTAAGGACATTCGGGATACGGTTAGCCCAACAAAAAGAACATCTTTCCTTGTTACAGCCCATCTTATCTGGTGCTGCTGCCTGCGAGAACATCGTTACCTGCAGGTCAGGGAAAAGCTAAGACTTTCTTATATAGGCCAATTCTGGCTTCTTTAGTCCTGCATAAAGTTTCTACCTTTTCTGTCCAGACTCCAGACAACTAACAAAGAATAAAAATCGATGGAACAGCTTTCAGAGGAAACGCACGCTGTCACATAGTTTACAGGATATATTCCTTTCAGTACGCAAGGCCAGACCCCGGAGCGTGTGTCCACGCAAGTCCAGAGTGGTGTCCTGCACTCCAGTCTTACCTTCCAAGCCTCCAGCTGCCAGCTGACCTGGTGTCGGGACAGAGTGGTAAATAAGGAAGCAAGCCAGCATGCTCAGCTGAGATTCCTCCGTGGGCTGCCCACTTAGGTAGGAATGCAGACAGACATCCCCTCCAGCTGTAATATACAAAACCCTCTGATGAAATTCAGGGAACATTTGTGGGAGGAAACAGAAAGGCAAGACGACAGTATTTCCACAGAAAAAGCCCGCTGAAAAGAGTCTCCATCTCCCCACAGAGAGGGACTAGGGGTTTTGTTTACAAGACACCTCCATTCTGCTGTGGCCACCCTTCACCCTGTTCTCTGTTGTGGTCACCCCTTGCTTTTGCTCCTAGAAAATTCTCCCAGTGCAATATTAGGAAAGCATTTTCTCTGGGAAACAAAACCTTCCACGTTAACTAAACTTCCCACCAATACAGTCAAACATAATTCTTCAGTGAATGTTTCACACTAAACACACTAAACTGAAAACAAGTTGTTTTATGCTAACACGCAAGTGCCTCCCCTTCAGTTATCATTTTTCAGTACTTTTGAGGCAAAAGTCAACCCGGATCAGCAAGAAGACAAGAATGCTGAATTGCGATCGTGGCTGTAAGATTAAAGTTATCTTCTCTATACCTTCAAGCCACTGATCCAAAGCGTTATCGATAGTGCACTTCATCACAGGCAGAAATTCAGAGTTCATGAAGAGTCCTCGGTTTGGATTCCTGCTCATCCTCTCCTGGTGACTTCTGGAACTGAAAAATTCTAACACCAGCTTTATCTGCCACAGCTCAAATGTCTCGGACATTTCTCTTCTTTCTAATCTCCTCACAGCCTGGCAGAGGGGAAATACAAAGTGACTGTGAGAATGTGAACTGGAGGAGGAAAGAAATGTTGTTGTCATAAACGTTAAGTAAATGAATCCTAAGCCCCCCCCTTGCCAAGGGCTGCCCTTCTGAGCACCTACTGAGAAAAACTGCCGGCTAATGTTTCTGGTGTAATTTCAGTTTTTGTTAACTTAGATTATTTTCCAATTTGCTTTTAAAATCTCTGCTATCTCCCTGTAAGCTCGCTAGTATGTCTCCCCTTCTTCCTTTCTCTCTTCTACAAGAATCACACGCAGTGAACAATACTCTTATGCCAAAGCGTAGCTTTAACAAAGAAAAAAGGTTTACTCCACCTGATCTATCGCTATGTACGTGGGCAGCATCTCTGGATTTTCTTGGGTAACACACTCATAAAGAATTGAGGAGAAAAGATCCAGGATTTCCTGTTTCTGATAAAAGACACATGTTTAACAAAGCACACATGCTAGATACAATTTATTTCAGGTTCTTGCATTGCTCACATTTCCTTCCATTAAAGTTAACCCATGCACTGACATTACATAAATGAGTGATAGCTAACAATGCCTCACAGCTTGCTTTCATTCTTGGGCTTATTAACGCTACGCATAATACTCCCTCCCTTAAGTCATTTCGTGCAGAGAAATACAGTGCAAAACACCCTAACCCTTCTGCAGTGACTTCACCTAAATGCTTCAGGACACCGAACAGGGCTCTCGGTATTTGTTAAACACATTCTGCAATGAATACAACTGGTGTAGACAACTAGCAGCAACTATCAGGTAACCAATGGGAAAAAAAACCCAAACAAAACCAACAAAAACTGTAGGGTCGACACTGTTTTACACCTCTGTATTACAAAATATCCCTTAGAATATTCCCTGTCCCCGCTACTTGAAGGACTGAATTCTGTTCCTCAGTTTAACGTAGGATTTTCCCACCTTTTATTCATGCAAGCCAGAAACCATGCTAGTCCACATCTAGGCATCATACCTGTCCCATGTTCACAGTTGGTTTGCAAAAATAATCAGCGAATGAAAACAGAGCAGGATCAGAAGTGAAAGCTGAAATTGCTTCTGGCTAAAAAACAGATTAAATCACACTCTTAAAATGAACTTTTTGGCTTTACTGCACAAATGAAGTAGCAATTTATACCCAACCCTTCCTTCCCCAGCACACAAGTGAGAAGATGGTAACCTACATAAATCACATCATGGGCAAAACATGCCCAACGCTTCTGTCTGCCCACGACAAACGTACATTCGCATAGCTGCTCTTAGCTTAAGCTCATCACATGCCCTGTGAAAGCCACCAGACTTCCTTTCCCTCAAGCAAAGCACGTTAACTTCAGTACTCATAAGCATGTGGCAGAGCTAGGTGCTGGTAATAAATAACACAGCATGACCTGCTGTGCTTCCCTCAGCCTTTCTAGAGGCAGCATTCCTGGCAGGAAACCAGTTTGGGAGCGATACCTTGAACGCCCGAGCTTCAGAGTTTCGGTGAGTAACAGTCTGTGCTAAGAGACTGCGCCAGCCCATCGGGTCCTCCTTGTAGGAGAGCTGCCCAGCTCTCAGCTTCACGTACAAGACGCCACCCTTTGAAAGAATTGATCTGAAATAACAACAACGGTGCTTACTTTACATTGATACATATATGCAAACGAGGCAGACCTGTAAAGGAAACGTGAACTCCAACAGCTCATATACAGCAATATCCCCGTTTAGGCTTTGTCCTGATTATTTAAACCCTGCCCCACTCGCGCGTGTGTGTATATATATATATATATATAAAGTCCTGGTATCTTCAGGGCAGGCTGCTATCAAACGGTGATGTGATGGCAGGCAATGGTGGTGAAAAAGGGATGAGCCCTACAGATTAAGGAATGTAACTTCCTGAAGCCACTGCAGGTTCTTGTTAGACTCTTCAAGGATGAGCCCCCAGCACCAAGGAAAACCATGCAAGCTGGTATCCACAGCTTTAAAGGCGTGCTGTGATGGTCCTTTCTCCATGAAAAAAAAAAAAAAAAACCAAAAAACCCCCAAAACAACAAAACCCCACTATTCCTGACCAAGCCTACAAATAGAAGTGTGCAGCAGTTCAAAGTTACGCTATTGCAAAGCAGCTGCATGTTTACCTGATTTAGAGTATCAGTTGCGCCATTAACTGTTGGCACTGGGCATCCTTAAAATAACTAAATTATCTGTATTGAAACTAACTGCTTAGCATAACAGCGTAGCAGCAATTCACGTGTAGTAAGATAGGGAAAATTATTTCTCACACGTGCATTTATCTCCAGAACAATGCCAGCCGGGTCCCTACCATTTTAAAAGGCTGGGGACAAGATGTTGTGACACGAGAGCTGACAGATGCAAAGCATCTGGAGACCCAGAGAACAGGCAAGTCCCAAAGGCAGCAAGTTTCTCAGTCACCCACGCTGGTTTCTGCTGCGGCAGCACAGGAAGGCTCTTTTGGACAAACAAGTGCTCGAGTGTGGTAAAGGCTTAACCCAGGACAAAGCTGGCTTCTGCCAGCTCTGGTGCAGCAGATGAATCAGTATGTGCCTCCTGATCTGGAGGACTGTGCACTCTGCCTCAGTCCTGTTTGTTATCTTTAAAGGCATGGACCACTAGATGCTGCATTGTAGTGCCTAATTTAATCTCAATAGTGGCATTTAAAGTAACTAGAAAAACCATGTTACTGATGAAAGATGCAGCTGGCTGCTTCTATACTACTCACAGCAGCAAGTTACACTGTAGGCTGTTAAGCGCAAAGATGAGAATGATTTTACCCGCAGATACTGTATTCCGGTAAGATTTCTGTTTTTCACAGTTGCCCGACGGAGAGTTAAAATGCAGTAAGCAGTACTTTGTATACTTCACGTAACATGAGAAAAATAGTATTTCACAAAGCAGTAACAGTTAGCTAACTACTGTATCAACAGTCTGGGAAACATGACATCACATCAACTCAAAACTAAACTAAAACCATGAGTTGAAGATGGTTTCTGGTACTGCTCAATCCCGCTGCCAATATCTGCGGTTTTTACTATCAGGTTTTCCCCTGCCCTGTTTTTGCATGAATTATTCACATCAATAGGTGAAACCAACTACGCAGTTTCTTTCTTCACCCTAAAGTGCTGTCAAATGCACAACAGTGAACCGATCAAAACCAGACTTCTTTCCAAACTGTAGGTGTTACAAGTGCAGGAGGTTTTAAAAAAAAATTCTAAGAAATATTACTACAAGGTCATTATTCAGTTAGGCATTATAAAGAATACTTACTTTAGATGATTCGTTCCCTTGCTTAAATCTATTAATAACTCCCAGTATCGTGGTCCCTTCACTCTGATCTGTCAATGTAAGCATTTTTATTACTAGATACAACCAGAATCATAAAATTAAGAGTTTTCTACATAAGCCTACAGTTCTCTCTGGGCCCTTAAAAGGGCACGTGCCCTTTTATAGTGCCACCCACCCTGAAAACTCAGGAAGAGCACCTAGCTTTGTCTCTCCTACAGCAAAGCTTTCTGGCACAGGGAACTCCCTGCTACATCAGATCTTGAAAGCATTATGCTCAAGACCGAGGAGAAGCGTGTGGCATATTTTAACACATGCTCCATAGTGACAGAATTGTCTTTGGAGATATTACTATGGGACAGCATCGTCCAGAGTCTGGCTAAGGTTGAACAGGGAATCAGTGAAAAGTCACTAAGTCTCTGCTCTTGCACTGTTTGTGACACAAACTGGGTGATTAAATTCCTCACTAAAGCGGAGACTTCCTTTACCTGCTTCAGTAAGTGAAGCTCTGGAAGAAGCGTGGGTGCCATCAGTTCCTCGGTGGCTTCTGCATACCACTGCGTGCCCTTCAAAATGCCACCAGTAGTCACATATTAGTAAAGCTCATTTTCGTGAGAAAAGAAAGAAAACGTGCATCTCATTTATAACAACTCCATTGGCAGAAGTCAGGCAGTTTCTGTTCCTGAGTTCTGAGTAAATACATGACTTAGCATTGCCTTTAATGTCAGGAAACATACACCTAAATTAAAGGTACGTTTCCCATGGATGGATCAACACATAACATTGTGCAAGTCAGGCACACTTCAACTGAAATCTGAAGGTTTGAAAAGTAAACTGTATTATGAACATGCAGAACTCTGCCAGAACCACAAGGGATCCCTGCTGCACCTCTTCTCCCCTGAAATCCCAAGAACCCTTTCTTTAGTCCTTTCACGAGCATTACCTGTCTCACGTAAGCTTGTACAAAATAAATCCTGCAGAAAGGACTCCTCCCCAAAAGACACATAATGCAAGCGCCCAGGAGAAACACTAGGTTGCCCGTTTCAGCAGAATTAGGAGAAGGCTTCTAAAACCACGGATGGTTCCAACCACCTCTGTGCCTTCGGAAGTCCTTCCTCTTTAGAAAGAGGACAACTATGACCCCGGGTCAGTCATTACACACTTGACTGTTTGAAGACTTTGTGGTGCCTTTTACTTGTCCTGTATTCTGCTCTCCGGGTGACATCAAAGCACACGTAAGGTGTGAGTGGGCTGAGCACAAGCCTTCCATTATTTGCGTAGAATTTGGCTTGTCTCCACCACAACTTGAAAACAAACCCAAGGCTGCTGGCCACAACAATGAAAATAGCGTGCCTTTGGTACATCAGAGTCTTCAGTTGTCTCCCACACCTTCTCAAAGGCCTTCGCTCCTTACTGCCTCCCAGACACATTACCTTGTATGTAACCTCTATCAGTGCGTAACAAGGAGTGTTTGAATCCACATCAACGGGTGTTAAGAGCCGTGGTTCCGCCGCCAGCACGTACAAGTGTCGCAGAGCCTGAAGGTGGTACCTGTGTATGGGAATAAGGAATTCGGCACGGTGTAGTACAGCCAGGGAATAATCCCCAAATACCAAACTACACACAGCTCAATAACCAAATACAGCTGTTGATTAAACTAAAGAGAAATTTGTAGTAATTTAGTAGGTTTTATATTGCTTTAACATGTACGTGTTAGCTAACAGAACAGGACTTCATGAATCATAGCTAAAACTGATTAAGAGCCATAAATGGACAGATTTTCCACAAACATCTTTTCTGCTGAGCAAATTGGAAGAGTCCAGTCACAGGACCACAGCGTAGAGCCTCAGGAAACCTGCTTGCATTTCCTCACTGATCAAAGATCACTACCATCATCTTATATCTTCATTCATTTCTTCTATTTTTCACTTTTTTTTTTAAACCTGAAAAAAAAAATTATTTACAGAGTGCCCAGGTAAAAATTCTAAATAATTTGCCTCTAGATAACCTCTTTTGTAAGAAGATGATTTAGCTTAAGGAAATAAGAACCCTAGCAAACCCTTACCGATTGTCCGTGCTGTGAACAGGGAAGTGAGGGTACAGAGCACAAAGGAGAGCAGCAATTGAAGAATTAGAAGTGCTCAGTGAGTATCTGTAGAAAAACATTATCTATTAGTTTCAGTGCTAACAAAGGCTGGCCACTAGCAAAGGTGTTCAAAATATTTTGGTGTCCCAGGGAAGGGAAGGACAGTAGCAAAGTGCATACAAGCAAGGAGTTTACAAATGTGTTCCTACAGCAGTCAAAATAAACATGTAGCAGTAGGAAATAAACACAAGCCAGAAACACTCCTATGGCATTCAAGAAATGTAGTATCTAGAAAACAACAGGACTTTCATCTGCAATAGAAAATCTCTTTATGCATCTGTATGTTATTAAAAAAAAAAAATCAATTAAATTGCACACTGCTCCAGCTTTTGCAGGAGAGGTGAAAGAAATAAAAACCTGCCTTTGGAAATGGCAAGTTACCTTCCTCCTCCCAGAAAGAGAAGCCCCAAAGCCATGTGGTGAGCCAGGTGGAACCCGTAGTTCATCTCTCCGCCTGTCTTCTTGTGCATGAAACGGCAAAGCTGAAGAACTTTCAGGTTTCCGGAGCCAGCCATCACCATCGCGAGAGACAGCAGCAAGACGCTCAAGCATGTTTCGAGATTATAGTGACCTGTCTTCAAGTAGAATGGGGAAGGCATTGTTACACTTCTGTGGTCAAACGCACGCTTCTGGTCGGTCTAATATGCTGCTTTCTACCCCAGTGTTCGAAAAACCACATTCCACAGAAAGAGGGAGAGCGGAGAACCAGCAAAGTCCTTAACAAAAATGATTCACAGCCCTGCCACATTCTAAAAATAGTCTGTAATTTAGAAAAGTCAAAGGGATGTTTTTGTTTCTTTAAGGTTTTGGTGAGAGTAATCAAAGTACGTTACACAACAAAACCTCCTTTTCATTGAGAGAAAACTAGAAAGAACTTACTATTGAAGCTGTTGGTGCTGACAAACACTTCAGGAAATCTGTTGCATATTTGTACTGGAAAGAAGAGAAATGCATACTAAATATAGATACCATAGAGCTGTAACTTATCTTTTGTAATTGAAGGGAAAAAATAAAAACCTCTTACCAAGCACTTAAATGCTGCCAGATTTTCTGAACCAGCAAATCGAAATCCCAGTGACAAACACGCTCCAGCAATGATGTAGACATGAGCTTGCCTAATAAGCAACATAAACAGGAAATGACTAAATGTTTCTCTCTTCCTTATCTGAATACGCATCACAAACTCCTTAATAATTAAAAAAAGGGAAAATTGAAAAGACTTATCTTTTACAGAAAACAGAGAATAAAATTCCCTAAATGTCAAGGGAGAGATTCTTTTGCATGCTGATATCCCTATAAAGAGTTCAGCTGCATTTTTCAGAAGAAGAATTTTTTACATGTTACTTACGCCAGTGTTTCTAAACTCAGGTCTTCAGATGAAGGCAGCTCTGTTGCATGAAGAGATATACTGTTCTCTCTTATGATCTACAAAAACCATTAAGACATAGAAAAATTAATCCAGGGGAAACTGGTTAATTAACTGAAACTCTGGGCACTGAGGGTTCATAACTGATACAAAACAGGTCTGTTTCACAGGCATAAGGGCTGTTTTTTCTTCCACGTGCTATTGCTCCATTGTACTTCTGATCAAAGAGGGACACCCTTCAATGCTCCTGGATCTGGTCCCTTAAAGATTTCTAAAACAATGGCAAGACTCTGTCAGAAGCACAATGTTACTATATGTACTCAAATATGAGAGAAAACAGAACAGGATGAGACCTCAAGAGGCTATGTAGTCCATCAGCATCCTGAATTTCTGATAGATATTTATTTAAGTTATTCGTAACGCTCAACTGAAACCTCCTTGCAGCAGTTTTACACCTGGCTCCTTGCTTGGTCAAGGTGGAGTTTAATCCCTCTCTCTCTCTGGCACCATTTTATGTCTTGAACAGTTGCATCCCTCCTCAATCCTCTCCTCTCTAACATGACGGGATGGGAGTCCCCAGTGCTCCCGTAACAGTCCAGGAATCCAATGTAACCATCATCTGTCATGTGAACACGATTTAACATACATTTTCTTGTGCAGCTCATCCGACTAAGGAAATGTTCACATGCAGAACAATCCAGTGAGATGTAAAATTGGGAAGTAAGCACATTAAGTGTAGATACCTACTTGGGGCACGTTGCTATTAACCCACTTGGAATTGGGCAAGATGTCATCCCACAAAATCAGGCATCGAGCCAAGGTCTAAAAAAAGTGAGAAAGCCAAAACATAAGGAAGAAAAAAACCCCAACACAAAAATCAATGGTATTTTTTTAATGTACTAAATGCATTCAGAAACGCAGACAATCCAGCTACCGACTAGCAGCTTCTTCACTGTTTCTCAGCCTTCGTATCAGAAGTGACAAAATAGCTTTTATTTTAAGAGATGCAAATTGCGCTTGCAGAAAAAAGAACCACAGAATAAATCCTTGCAAGGTCTGTATCTTTAGTTGGTAAAGCGAGATGAAAATTCACTATGTACTTATAACAGATGCTGAGGCCTAACTTATTTTTTACCTGTGAAATTAATTTGGGAAAAGCTAGAAACATTTACCTAAACATCTAATTGAACATTCCACATGAAATGTTTTATTCAGATATTTCTCACTAAATTCTGTCTCTAGTGCTGCATGACAAGCAAGCTGCCTTACTGCATGCAGAAATTGTTTGAAGGTATGAGTTTGGCTGGCAAGCAAGCAAGTTACCAGCTATCTAAAGGATTCTGCATGATAGGCACGTGGGCTGGATTAGAAATTAAAATAAAAAAGATGCATTTTTAGTATCGTTAAGTAGATGGAGAAATGAAACAAAAGAAAATCTTACCCTCAATAAAAGGAACTCTGGTTTTACAAAGTCCAGCAAATACATGGTATCTGGTGCTTGAAGCCAGTCAGCAATGGATCTGCAGAGCACAGTAAGGAACAGAGTTTCCAGATCTTATTTCAGCAATGCACAAAATCGAGTAAGCCACACAAAGCAGAGCCAACATTACGGCAGTTTAAACTGCTATCGCAAGTTACTGCAAAATGTCTGAGCAATTCCAAGGTTAATACCTGTTATTAGTCTTTAGGTAGATCATAGCAAGTGCAAGTGTGGCACCTGGACAAGTAACATCCACATTTATGGTGTCTCCCTCCTGTGAAAACGCAATGCATACTTTCAGACCAGCTGACTAGGAAGGCAACAGCCTGTAGTGATGTGTACAGGCATTCAAAGTCACTTGGCGCATCGAGACACACACCTCTCCGACTTCTAACTATTGCTGTTTTCAGCTTAAATGAGCAAAAAAATCATCAACACGTACCTTGATTTGATAACTGGGAGACTTGTGCTTCTCTCTGTGCATTCCCGCTTGGAACCGCCTGTGGCCCCCAACCATGTACTGGTAAAGCTGCTCGGGAACATTGAGGTCTGACATGCCTATCAAATTACTGCCGTGCTAAGGAATGAAGAGGAGAAGAAATAATATGCAAGTGCCTTGCTATATGACAAAAAAACCGCTTTCGGCCAAAGGCAGTTGGGAGTCAAGGGTGAAACAGCTCTTGCTACCCCACCCCAACATATAATGATTCTTCTACTAATTGCAGTTGAAATGAAGAGAGGCACTCACCCCTAGGCAAACCATGCCTAAGGCGAGCCCAGATGCAAGTGAATAGGACTCTCTGTCTGTGCAGTACTCCATTTCTGGTCCAGGAGGACGTCCTGGAGAAAAAACAAAACAGTGAAATTAATCTTTTAAAATTCCAGCTAAGTAAACATTCTTTCATTAAGCACTACATTTCTAATGAAATGAGGAAAAAAAAAATCTGTCCCTTCAAGAAAGTTCTCAGTGGAATTACAAATAATTGTCACTTAACCTATCCACCACCAAATGGCAAACCCCGCCAGAAGCAGTACATATTGCTAAATGCTATGGTTGGAGTTCAGAGAGAGTGAAAACATGCCATGTTACAATTGCGTATACTTTAAGACCTCTGAACCTATCCAAATGCTGTCAGCAGAGTTCAAAAGCTGTTGCTAGAAAAGATTGCATGTATCAAATTACCAGAAACAGAACAGGTACAATTTTACCCTTAAAATTTCTCTCATTCTCTATTTAATAATCCATACAGTCTCTTTTAAAGTTACATATAAACATTAGTAAGAACTTAACCGTTATAAATAAAATCAGAAGAACTATCCGCAGAATGAGGACACAATTCAGATCAGAAATTTACTGTTCAGAACCAGCTCTTAAAGACTACTGTTTAGAAAGCCTTAAACAAATTCGGAACAGGAGAATTTAGGACACGATGGCTGCACTTCCACCAACCTAGCGAGCCAACAAGACTGTCCTTGCAAGAGGAAAGCATTTTTTCCCCACCCAGTGCCTCAGTCTCTGGTTTCTACAGTGGCAGCTACCTCGTGGACAGACATGAGAAACAACAAATGTGTGGGAAGCATCAGATGCGTTGGGTATACAGCGTGCAACAGATCTGCTCAAAAGCTGTACAGGGTCAGGATCTCTGCAGATACAGCATCCGGGTCAGGAGGAACGTGTAGTTACTGCAGTCCTTTTACCAAGTAGCTGGCAACCCCAGAAATCCCAGACCAGCTCTCATTAGACAAAATTTCCAGATGGGAAAAGCATCTAGGTCCAGCACTGATGCTGCTACATTTCTTCTACTAAATTCAATGATTGTTCTATGCTATACAAATACACACTTCACAGTAACTTCTGTTTCTCTGAAAACAGAAGATGGGGTTTGGAAAATGAGAGGTGAGTATTGCAGTGGCAGATGTATAAAGACGTTAAAATTCTCAGCTCCCTGATGCACTGTGCTAATCATTCACACGTTGCGATCCTCCCAGTCCTCATCCCGTTTTTTCAGCGTTAGCACCTACCTATTTCAGCCAGCAGAACCTCAGCTGTGTGCCTGTGAGCGGTGCCCTGATAGACAAGGCCTATTCCTATCACGGCAGCCACCTGCACATTGTGGGGGACATCCAGCTCTGTTGAAGTTGGTGGCAGGAGAGCAGGTATGTGGATGCTCAGGAGGCGTGTAATAGCCATATCCATTGTGCCCAACTTGGCAGCAGAAACACCAAGCAATAGTCCAATACTTGTCATCTCGTGGCCCTGAGAAAGGAAACAAGCATCAGCGACCAAAGAAAGCAGACGTGTTCAGAAAAGGAAAGACACTTGTCCAAGTATCTTAACGCAAGTCTTACATTCTCAAGTATACACAGCAGCTAAACTTTTTTATCCACCCCTTCAGGAAAATGAACACTAGCTGTTATGGGTGTAAAGGTATTTCCCAAATGTATGATCTTACTGCAGAGGCAAGACTTCAATCCAAATAGAAATTCTCACACCATCAAATACTAAGCATGGTTATAACGTAGATGTTTAGTTTCCAAAAAAACCCCAACACACTTGGGTTGTTCTAAAACAAAACCTGAAGTTTTTGCTTTAAAAGGATCTTACCTATCTCCTTGGTAGTTCTTTATCAATCCCTCCCCCCAAGCCACATGTATCGTTTCCTGGTGTTTAAGTTTGAAAGTAATTATGTGTTCACAACTTCTTATGATTTAGGGTGAGATTTCAAGAGCACATATGATTTTCAGCCTTTTAATGCAAAGTCCATAAAATCTTGAGTCCCTAGCTCTAACTCTGTTAATGCAAAGATTAACAAGGACATTTTGATAGAAAGTGAGCAGAAGTAATTCAGAGCATTCACCTATCCCAACGAGCTGTGCACAACATGGAAAGATTTAGTCATAAAACTGCTGAAAATCTTTTAAACAGAAATGAAGCCCTGCACTACGAATATTAGTGAAGCAACTCTGATATTCTCCCACATTGGGAAACTTCCAATTCAGTGTTTCAGAGAAATCTGCTGACTTTTCTTTCTTGTTTTGTTTAAAGAATTCAAGTCCTACAGATATTTTTCTCTGTTGCCTATGAAAGAAGGCCTCACCTTTGTTAGGTAGTCATGTATATTGAGCGTGGCAAGTTTTGTGAGATGCCCGTTGAGACCCAGCGCCATGAGGAAGCCTGCGTATTCATTTGCTAGTTCAGCAATTTTGGGCTTGTTATAGACAATCCAAGCAGAGTCTATCTGTGAAGCAGGCGCTATCTTCAGGCCGGCAGCTACCCCGTTGTGAAAGCTGGCCCAGCAAGCCATGTTAGGAGGCACATCGATGTTCCCACTGTTCAGATCAACAGTGGTGTTCCTAGGAGGAGCACGGCCTGCCCATGACAAAATCATTAAAAGCAATTAGGTGAATCCAAACCACTTCAGAAACAGCTCTCAACTTAGCGGGGTGCCAAGTGAACAAACTCTGACAGCATGCTAGGTAACACTTCCAATCTGAAGACAGCCTTGGGTATCTTCAGGCATGTCAGAAGACAGCACAGCATAGTAGATGAACCAGCGATGTGGACTTTGCAGTATCTCTGTCCTGTATGACACCAATGCTGATCAGCTGCATGCCCTTAGGCAATTTATTTCAGCGCTCTCTGCTTCTCAGAATGTACCTGATATAAGGTCTCAGTGTTAGATAACAACATTGGCCCAATAACAAGAAGCTAGTAGGTGACAGATTCAAAACAAAGAGCTACTCTTCACAAAAAGCACACTTAAGCTATGGAACTCTTTGCGGAGAGACACAGAAGATGCTATAAAAATGACAACAGGTTTAGAAAGAAATGAGGTAACAACCGAAAGAAACTCTGACCAACGTACCAGTTAGATTCAGCTTAGGGATGGGCAACTGTTCCGTTGGAACAGGATGATATGAGAACAAAGTGAACATTCCTCGTCCAACAGGTAGTGCCATGGTTCGCTGGCACAGCTGTAACAGCCTGTTGGGGAGATGACAGAAAAACCGAGCCAGTTGCTTAATACAGAAAATTTTTCCAAATACATGATATAAAATGAACCTACAGACAACAGGCACTGAACAGACCATTTTTTGATAGCATGTTGTCTTTCTTTTTTTTTTTTTAGTAGGCTAAAACTCTTGAACCGCATTGTTGGTCCTTACAAGATTAATTTCAAAGATATACTTTAGCTGACGTCACGTTGAAATTTATCTCCATTTTTCCCTTAAAGCTAGGTGCTAGTTAAACAAATCTGCGCTACGGACAATTTAGCAGCCATATCAGAAACAAGGTGTTAGGAGAAAGCAAAACAAAGCTGATTGCCGTATGGGATCTGGCTATGACTAGTGATCACATCTAGTAATAACCTGTGTACAGAATTAATAATGTGCTTCCAAGAACGCTGACCACAATTCTCTATGATTTACTCTGGAAACACTTTCTAGACTTGCTAGATTACTCAGCTTGTTAGGTCAGACAATAATTTGATGCATTCCTTTAGCTTCCTACTTCTGTAGAGTGTTTTGCATGTTAATCATGTTCTGAAGTTTGCTTTTTTTCTTTTGTTTTTTAAAGAAGATACTTTTAACACCCCCAAAATAAGTGACTAAAGAAGGAGGACGGGGACAATTGTGAGGCCACTAGGCATATAATGGCTCCAATAGGAGGTTTCAAAAGAGAGAGGGATGGGACAGTGAATTTGCTTTCTGTAGAATTAATTAGGTCCCCTGACCCAAGTCTTGCTTAAACCTAAGATCAGCCCTGAACAAAGGGCTCTCTAGTTTTAGGCAGGGGATGGACAACACTTTGTTCTCTACAGAGGCATTTTCTCTACAGACTAGGTCCTCCTTATATTTCACACCTTTTAGGTGGGGAAAAAAAAAAGCTACAATCTGCTTTCAAACCCTAACTGATCTCAACACACTGTTTGGGGTTCAAACTAACAATCTTTCCCATACGCTGCTCCAATCCGGAGTGCCCTCCAACTCAAACACAGCAGAGTTTTGAAGTACACTGAGCTTCAAAGACTTGGATTATGAAATCCAACCCTCTTCTGTGTGTCCTTCACTCAGGCCTGCCTACTTTAATGTTCAGTTCAGACTAAGATATATTGCACTGTTTGGTTAGACATACTGAACTTTAAGCCACGAAAAATATTCAAACAATTTTTCACCCAAGTGAAATGCTAACAAAATACTGCTAGAAACGGAGACAGTTTTTACCGGTTTTCTTTCTCTTCTATGTATTCATGATCACTAGCTTCTGGCATCTGCACTACATTGACACGTACAGGACGGGCACTCTGAAGGAGCCTGCGTACTTCCTGCACTCTCAAATCCTCGCTCCATATTAGTGACATCACTTCCTCGTTCATGTCATTCATGCCATCCTCAT